CCTGCTGGTCCCCGAACGCCCGGGCATGGTCCAGCATCATGGCCTCTGCCTGTGCTGTGCCCGCTTCCTGGTTATGTTCCTCTGGCTCATCCTTTCACCCAATTCTGGCCGCTGCTTCAAGGTCACGTCTTCCGAGAGGCCTCCCCTGACCCCCTGGTTCAGGAAGCCACCTCGTCACGCCCTGTGTCCTGTTCCTGCTGACGGTTTTCCTTGCCTTGTTTTATGTCACCATGTAAGTGTCGTTGAGCTCTGTGGCAGGGACACCATGCCCATAGGGCAGCAGTCGGCAAACTCATTAGTCAACAGAGCCAAATATCAACACACAACGATGGACATTTCTTTGGAGAGCCACATTTTTCTAAACGTAAACGTCTTCTAACGCCACTTCTTCAACACAGACTCCCCCAGGCCGTGTATTTTGTGGAAGAGCCACACTCAAGGGGCCAAAGAGCCGCACGTGGCTTGCGAGCCGTAGTTTTCCGACCACGGCCCTAGGTCATGGCTGGGTCACAGTGATTTGACCAGCACCAGACACTTAGTAATTGATGAGAGGCTGATATTTATTGAGCACCTATGGTTTGCTAGGCTCTGGTCTGGGCACTGGGTACATGACAGGGACAAAACAGACACTTCCTTCCCCCACCAATCAGGTGGCCAGCCTGGCGGTACAATAGATATGAATCAAATAATCACACCATGGTTAATCAGAGCCAACACTCATTTGGAATTTATTGTATGTGTACCAGGTGGTGGCACTCTGTTAATCAGTTAGTCCTCACCACTGCCCTGTGAAGGTGATGCCATACCATTGATATCCTATCGTACAAATGAGGAAACTGAGGCACAGGGAGGGTAAGGGTCTCCCCAGGCCCCACGGTCTGACAGATTATTCCAGGAATAGTGCTGGTGGCCCGGCCTCCCATGCTCCTATGTAACCTCTTGTCCTGACTCAAGCCTGGGCATGTGCTGCATGCGGCTGGAGGGACAGCAACACGTGTGACACATGCATCTGAAGTGCTTATGTTTCGGGACCTGCCTGCCTGCTGCTCCTGGGTGCCCACAGGTCCCTCAGGGGAGGAGCCGGCCAGCCTGGCAGTCGCCCCATCAAGGGCAGCCAGATTTAGTAATTAAACATACAGGGTGCCCGGGTACATTGAACTTCAGATGAACAGTGAGTGGTTTTTCTCAGCGTACAGATGTCCCAGCTATTGCATGGGACATGCTTATACTAAAAACGTCATTTGTGTCCTAGCTGGTTTGGCTCAGGTGATAAAGCATCAGCTTTCAGACTGAAGGGTCCCGGGTTCGATTCCTGTCAAGGGGACATGCCTGGACTGTGGGTCGATCCCCAATGGGGGGCATGCAGGAGGCAGCTGATCAATGATTCGCTTTCAGCACTGATGTTTCTATCGCTCTCTCCTTCTCCCTTCCTCTCCTAAGTCAATAAAATATCTATCTATCTATCTATCTATCTATCTATCTATCTATCTATATTAAAAGCCTACGTGACCTTTATGACCAAATGACCAGAATGACTGGACGGCCAGCCGATAGCTATCACACACACTGACCCAGACCTTGCTGCTGGCACCCTGACAGCTCTAAATCTGGTTCACCCACACCCCGGACCCAGACTGGGGGAGGAGGGAGCCTGATTCCTCGTGGAATCAGCGGTTGGTTAATTTGTTGCTGGAGCCAACCCCCTGTGGTCCCACCTCCTGGCTGGCCACCTGCCCCCCATCTGACCCGATTGTTGGCCAGGCTGAGGGGCCCCACCTGTGCACGAATTCGTGCACCCAGCCTCTACAGTGTGTGTGTGTGTGTGTGTGTGTGTGTGTGTGTGTGTGTATGTGTGTGTGTGTGTAGTCATTTGTTGCCGAAACCGGTTTGGCTCAGTGGATAGAGCATCGGCCCGTGGACTGAAAGGTCCCAGGTTCGATTTCGGTCAAGGGCATGAACCTTGGTTGTGGGCACATCCCCAGTAGGGGGTGTGCAAGAGGCAGCTGATCAATGATTCTCTCTCATCAATGTTTCTAACTCTCTATCCCTCTCTCTTCCTCTCTGTAAAAAATCAATAAGATATATTAAAAAAAAAAAATAAAGTCATGCCGAAACTGGTTCGCTCAATGGATAGAGCGTTGGCCTGTGGACTCAAGGGTCCCAGGTTCAATTCCAGTCAAAGGCATGTACCTGGGTTGCAGGCACGTCCCCAGTAGGGGGTGTGCAGGAGGCGGCTGATCGATGTTACTCTCTCATCGAGGTTTCTAACTTTCTGTCCCTCTCCTTTCCTCTCTGTGAAAAATCAATAAAATATATATATTTTTAAAAAAGTCATTTGTTGCCCAGCCTGCATAGCTTAATGGGTGAATATGAACCAGGAGGTCATAATTCAATTCACCATCAGGGTACCTACCCAGGTTGATGGCTCAATCTGCAGTGTGGGGCATGCAAGAGGCAGCCAACCAACGATTCTCTCTTATCATTGATGTTTCTATCTCCCTCTTCCTTCCTTTCTGAAATCAATTTAAAAAATATATTTTTAAAAGATCTGCTATTATTAAAAAAGTCATTTGTTATTGGCCTGAAGTTTAAATTTAACTGGGTGTCCCGGTTTTATCTCATAACCCTGTCCCCTCATTGGATGGCAGTCCACCTGCATAAGAGGGGTTCCCTGGAGGCATGGCCCCCTGTATACCGAGGACCTTGCAGAGGTCATTAAACAAGGATGCTCAGAGGAGAGGGGGGCGGGGTGCTGCGAAAAGTGCTGAGAAGCAGGCCGGGGAGGGAGGGAGGGAGGGGGTCAGGGTTCTGGCATTTCAGTCAGGAGCTGGGTTTGTATTTCAGCCTTTCTAATGGCCTGGCGGAGGGGGGGCACATTCCTCCCTTCACAGATCACAATACAGGAGCTGGGGAGACCAGGGGAAAGCTCTACAGCTCACAGGAAAGTGAGGGGCGGCCGGGCCCAGATACCAGATCTGAGAAGTGCCGTCCACTGGGCCGCCCAGTTTCGTTTCACCCTGAGAGTCCCTCCTCTCTCCAGACAGACCGTCCTCCGCTGGGAATTCCACTAAGAATTTGTTTAAACCTTTCACCAAATACCTCCTGGGCAGCCAGCCGGGCCGTGGGTAGAATTCTCCCGCTGCTTTCTAAGGGAGCTGCCTCATTAAAAGAATCAAAATGAAACATGCATTTGAAAAACAAGACCGTTCCAGTGGTTGAACTTCTGGCCTCCTCAGGACATGCCAGTCAGGACAAGTCAGGAATTTCAGAGGGCACTGCGTCTTTAGGGCACTTCAAGCGTGTGTGTGTTTTGTTAATCCTCACCTGAGGACACTCTTCCGTGGCTTTTAGAGAGAGTGGGAGGGAAGCGGGGGGAGAGAGAGACACACACATCGATGCCAGAGAAACACATCTACTGGTTGCCTCCTGCATGGATCAAACCTGCAACCAACGTGCGTGCCCTTGACTGGGAATCGAACCTGTGGTCCTGTGGTGTGCAGGCCGACACCCTAACCACTGAGCCACTGGCCAGGGTCACATCTAATTTTTTTAAGTCTCCCTAATGGTCCCCAATGGCCTTCTTCTTTTTTTTTTTTTTAAAATATATTTTATTGATTTTGTACAGAGAGGAAGGGAGAGAGATAGAGAGTTAGAAACATCGATGAGAGAGAGTCATCGATCAGCTGCCTCTTGAACACCCCCCACTGGGGATATGCCCGCAACCAAGGTACATGCCCCCGACCGGAATCGAACCCGGGACCCTTCAGTCCCCAAGCCGACGCTCTATCCACTCAGCCAAACCGGTCCCGACCGCAATGGCCTTCTTATGTCTTCAAGAGAGCCACTAATCCCCCACCCCACACCCGACCGTTTATAGTGTTAAGATACAAATAACAAAACTTACCGTCTTAGCCATTTTTAAGTGTATGGCTCAGTGGCAATATACTGTCCTGCAGCCAACCCCACCACCCATCTCCAGAACTTTCTCATCTTCCCAAACTGACACCTTGACCCCATTACACACTCCCCCCCTCCCCCCCAGCCCATGGCCCACCATCGGCTCTCCGGCTCCGTGAATGTGACTCCGCTAGGCACCGCCTGTGAGTGGAACCACACGCTCTTGTCCTGAGTCAGCGCTGACGGGCTGCAGGGCAGTGCCCGGCTCAGTGGGATGGGACGGCGCGGCACGTCTGGGCCTGGCCTTACTGAAGAGGTCACCCCACCAGCACCGATGAAGCACCTACTGCGTGCTGAGCGCCGGGAGCGCCGGGAGCGCTGGGAGACCCCGACACCCCGCGGGCTGGGAGCAGTGAGTGTCACCGAGAGGACTGAGCCAGAGGGAGGAGGGTTTATTTCACGGTGGACGTGGACACAAGAACCCCTTTGAGCCCACAGACCAAGCCCTTCCTCTGCAGGCCACGTGCTGTCCCCAGGGCTTTGCCGTGCGCGGCGGTGGGGACGGAGGGCAGTGCGGGGGCCCTCAGGCTGGGCGCTCAGGTTTCCTTCCTCAGCCTGGACGGTTTCCCAGGGGTGGAGCGGGGCACGTGAAATTGGCACGTGCCCCCACTCAGATTGGGGCGTGGAGGGGGCCGAGGGGGCCACGCAGACCTGCGGCTCCTCAAAGTGCCAGGACACAAGCCTTCCCCCACCCACCTCCCTGCCCTCAGACTGGTGGGAGCAATGGCGAGCGGGGGAGGGAGCTGGTCTCCTTTCTTCTCGGACCGAGAGCGTTTGGCCAAGTCCTTGAAGCAGGAGGAATTGACAGAGGTCCATCTTACCCCCGGCTTCAGACACAGAAAAAGCAAAAACAATTTCTCCAGGAAAATAAAATCAGAACAGAAAGCCCTCGAGTCCGGGGCCACGCCTGCCCTCGGGATTGTGGGCGTGTCATTAATGGCCCTCGGACTGTGGGGTTAAGTGGGGATCTGCTTCCTAAGGTGGGGGTCTAAGGGATGGTCTTGGCAGTTCCCACAGGGTCCAGGTGCCTCCCGTCTTCAGGCTCAGTCCTCATCCTCGCTGGCATAGACGCCGGCTTCCCAGCGCTCAGCCATGGCGTTCTTGTGGCGAATCACCCGCGTGGCTTCCAGGAGCTGCAAGAGGAGGTACAGGGTCCCCATCAGCGTCCTAACCCCCCGCTCCCACTGCCAGCTCATAGGATGGGCTTAGGACAGGGGCAAAGCAGGGCCATCCCCTCCTCTGTTTCAGACCTTCTACTCCTTATGCCAAGTTCCATAGCAGGGGAAATATCTGGGTCTAGCTTTGTAGGCTCAGCTCAAAGGTGGCCCCAAATATCTTCCACAAACCCTCCGAGGTAGCTGGCCTTCTCCACATGTTCAGATGAACCCCTCCCTCAAAGAAAACACCCTTGTCTTGGACCCAGTCTGGTCCAAAACCTTCATCATTTGGCAAAGGAGCTGCAAATGCACCCATTTTGCAACAATCTGTGCCCATGCAGGCATCACAAGCAGATCAGAGAAAAATCCACCGCGGGAAGACACTGCCAACCCAGGAGCTGCCCAGTGACATTTCACATCCCAAAGAAAAGCCTTTGGTGGCCCCGGTTCCGTGGGGCGGGGCACAGACAGGGAGGAAAAGACTGTCCCTGCCCCCGGAGCGCACTCACCTCCGAGTTGACGTGGTCCAAGGGGCTGATGCCGGCATACTGCAGGAAGGAAACACACATCAGCCCTGGGCCTCGGGCCCTGCCCCGCCCCACAGCCCACCGGGAACTCGATGCAAAGTCCACTCCGTCAGCCCTTGAGGCAGGAGGGAAGGTGTTCCATGCCCACAGGGACCTCTGAGGGGCCCTTGATGACCACAGATTCAGCCATCCACCACGCTGTTCCCTCATGCTAACCCCCTGCCCCTGCCTCCCCGCCCCGCCCCGTGCAGCCTCGGGCTGGTATTTGCATTTTTTTTTTGTTTTTTTTTTTTATCTTTCTGTGAACTTCAGCTTAATAAAGACAGTCACTATGTATGGAACTTTTCCCATGGCTGGGCCCTGTTGTAAGGCTCGGAGATGGCTCCTTTCATGGTGATTTCACAAAGGAGGAGCTTGCCGAAACCAGTTTGGCTCAGTGGATAGAGGGTCAGCCTGCGAACTGAAAGGTCCCAGGTTCGATTCCGGTCAAGGGCATGTACCTTGGTTGCAGGCACATCCCCAGTCGGGGATGTGTAAGAGGCAGCTGATCGATGATTCTCTCTCATCGATGTTTCTAACTCTCTATCCCTCTCTCTTCCTCTCTGTAAAAAATCAATAAAATATATTTTAAAAAAAGAAAAAGAAAAAAAGGAGGAGCTTGAGGATCAGAGAGGGGCAGGGACTTGTCCAACGTCACACAGCAGGCAAGTGGCAGAGCGGAGAGTGGAACCCAGTTCCCTGTGCCCGAACCCACGAGGCCGGGCTATGAGTTCCAGGTGGGTGAGGCTGGAGCTGGTGTTACTCTCCATGGCGCCCCCAGCGCCCCACTCCGGGAGGAGCTGGCCTCATGGTTACAAAGTTGTGGTAGGCATTCAGGCCTGGGCTCAGGTCCTGGCTCGGGAACTCTCGGTCCACACGACCTTTGACAAGTCTCCCTCCACCGTCCTGTCGGAGGTGCCAGAGCTCAGCCAGGCCTCCACGGGCGTGGCCAGGGTCCTAGACTCACCCACTGTTCCTTCTTCTTTCCCTGCCCAGGAGCAGCCTCCGCGGGGGCCTCTGCCGTCCACACCAGGCCCGAGTGCAGGCGGATGGGGGTGAAGAAGTGTGACTCGGACACTGAGTAACTCCCGGTGGTGCCTGCGGGGGGCAGGGAGGAGGATGGAGCATCAGGGAGGGTGCCATCGTCCCGTGAGGGCAGAACATCTATCAGACCAAGGCCTGGGAGACACAGAACATCTGGCCCACTTAAGGAGACAGGTGAATGAACAGATGTGCAGGGCAGAGAGCTTGTCAGGAAAATGGATAGAACGACCAAAACAGCCGGCCAGAAAGAACTGGACAGACGGATGGGCAACCATGCCAGGTGAAAACATGAAAGGTGACACAGGAACCCTAATTGGTTTGACTCAGTGGATAGCGTGTCAGCCTGTGGATTGAAGGGTCCCAGGTTTGATTCCGGTCAAGGGCATGTACCTTGGTTGCAGGCACATCCCCAGTAGGGGGTCTGCAGGAGGCAGCTGATCGGTGTTTCTCATCAATGTTTCTAACTCTCTATCCCTCTCTCTTCCTCTCTGTTAAAAAAATCAATAAAGTATATATATTTTTTAAAAGCGACACAGGAGATCTTTCATCTGACAAAGGGGAATAAATGACCAAGAGGATGCAGCACCTGTAACCCTTTTATGCGCCTAATAGCTAACCCTTCAAACCCACAAAGCGAACGCCACGGGGCAAAGTTGACATCTCTCTCCAAAACCGACGTTTACGCAGGCAGAGAGACCAGCCAGCTGGGGGAGTGGACAGAGCCCCCCAGATGTCCCTCTAGATAGCCCAGTCTCCACCTCTCCACCCTTCTCTGCTCCAGTCCCCGAGACCAAGTCGAAGCAGCGGTTCTGCCGGGACCCCTCCTCACCCGACGCCCGGGAGGAGCTCCTGGAGTCCGGGTCGCCGTCGCCGCCGGGCTGCGGGGAGAAGACCTCGGGGAAGAGAGCGTGGCGCCGCTCCTCCGCCACCTCGTGCTCCCGCCTCAGCACGCTCTCCACCTCCCGCTCCAGCAGCTCGGAGGACTGGGACCTCTGCAGCCTCAGAGCCGGGGCCCCGGCCACCTCCCAGCCCCAGGTGCGGGGGGCCTCCGCCTTCCGGGGCGCCTCCGGGACCCCGAACCGCAGGGGGCGCAGGCGGAAGTACTCCCACCGCACGATGCCCCTGTGGGCGGGCGGGGCCCCCCCGGGGGGCCTCCAGGCCTCCTGCTTGGTGCCCGGAGGCTTTCTGGAGGGTTCCGAGGGCGGCCTCTGCGGCCCTGAGGCCTTGACCTCGCCCGCGGGAAGCCCGCCGGGCCTGCCGGGTGCGGGGGAGGCCGGGACCTGCTGCTGGGGGGCCCCCAGGCCCAGGTACGGCTGGTAGGCTTCCGGGGGGATGCGGCTCACCTTCCTCAGCTCTGGGGTGGGGGGGTCGGCCGCCCTGGGGGGGTCTGGGGCCTGGCTGAGGATGGAGTCTGAGCTCAGCGCTCTCCTGAGTCCGGGCTGGGGACCCCCGGGTTTGCCCTCGGGCTTGGGCGCCCTGTCCCCCTGCAGGCCCTCCCGCCGCTGGTGGTCCCCCTCCCGCTGCCGGTGGTCCTCCTCCCGCCGCCGGTGGTCCTCCTCCCGCTGCGTCTCCTGCGCCAGGTCGCGCTGCACGTAGAGCGAGGGGCGCCCCCGGTCCCGCCGCGGGGCCGCCGGGCTCAGCGTGGCCAGCAGGGGCCGCGCGGGGATCTGCACCAGCTCCTCGGGGGCCCCGGCCCGCCGCAGCCCCCGCTGCTCCCGCAGCGCCGCCTCGCGCTCCTGGGCCCGCCGGATCTCCCGCTCGATGGGCGTCTCCGGGGGGGCCTCCGGGGACCGCGCGGGGGGCCAGGCGCCGGGGTCTCCTATGGCCTGGACACCGGGCCCCTGGGGCAAACCGCGGAGCCTCTTCTCTCCCGCGCCCACCTCCTTCACCCGGGGCTGGGCCGAGGCGGCGTAGCCATAGCCATTGGCTACGAGGAGCGGTGGGTTCGGGGCCTGGGGGGCCTGGCTGAGCCTGGGGGGAGCGCACTCCGGAGCCGCCCGGGCCTGCAGGTTCTGCGGGGCCCAGGCTGGCGGGGCCTGCGGGGTCTGCGGGGCCCGGGCCGGCGGGGTCTGCGGCGTCTGCGGGGCCGGGGCCGGCGGGGTCGGCGGGGCCCTGGCGTTGGCCTGCTCCAGGCTCAGGAACTGCTGCCTCGCCGCCAGGAAGTTAATCTGCTCCCTGTCCACCACGCTGTCCTCCAGGGGGCTGAGCGGAGGCCGTCCCGGGTCAGGGGCGCCGTGCAGCGTGGCCACCGTGCCGCTCCTCCTCACCGCCTGGCCCTGGATGACCGCCCGGCGCTCTTGCTCCAGGTCGGGCGGCCGCCTGGGCCGGGCGTCCCCGCTATGCAGGCCGTAGGCCTTCACCTCCTCGTCCACCTCCTCGTCCTCCTCTTCATCCTCGGGCCGCAGGGACGGCTGGCCGAGGCAGGTGCGCAGGCTGCGGGGCGCCCTTGCCTGCAGCACGTCCGGCTGGGCCTTGCGGTCACCGCCCCACCCTGCAGTCTGGTCCGGGCCCCAGTCGCTGTCCGAGGCTTCCACATGCACCAGCTGGTACGTGTAGCTGGCGTCCCCATTGAGAGCCAGGCCCGCCATGCCTGGCGAGTCGGGGATGCTGAAGATGGGGTATCTGGTCACTCGGTCCATGTTCTCGGGGGTCTCAGCCACCACAGGGTCTGGGGTGAAGACGCTCTCAGCTCCCTGAGGATGAGAAGATAGCTCAGCTGCCAGGTAACAGCGCTTGGGGAGGGGCACAATTTCCAGTTCTTTCAAGGGCAAAGTCCTGCCCCACTGGCCTCTGTGATTGGTCCAGGGGTAGATAAGTGACCCCGCTTGGCCAATCAGAGCACCCCCTCCCCTGGCCTATGTGATTGGTTCCGGGATGGACATATGACTCAACCTGGTCAACAACGATGACGTGAAATCCTGACACTTGACTGTGGAAATTGGACGCTCTTCCTGTTAGGCTTGTTGGGTTGGTGGAATGAAACGGACAAATTCTGGGGGCTATACATGCCCCCCCTTGTGGACACACCCTGCTCAAGAGCAACCCCAACCCCAACACAGCATCCTAAAAATGTTGTTTGAACTCCTGGATCCAGCCATACCTGAATCTCACCCCCGTACTGATCCAACCACTGGCCTCACGTATATCTGCCATTTGCAGGCACCCCTGCTCACCATCTCCCAGACACTGCCCATCTAGTCTTGGGGATCCCCTGCTGCCCGAATCCTACTACTCTCCTCTTTCACTCAGTTCACCCAACCCAACCCCCCCCACACACACACACACCTCAGCCACATAAAAGCCAGAATAGGCTAGGAATGCTTGGACCTTATCCTGCTAGGCAGACCACGCCCTAACCCAGTGCCCCAGGGAGGCCCAGAGCTGCCTCCCTCCTCCTTTGAGTGTCTGAATGTCTGGGAGCTTTCTACAAGGTCACACACCTGATCTCATATCTCATATCATGGTATCTCCCTGGTTCCGTTCTCACTGCTTTTCCCAGGTGCTCGAGTCCTCCATCTGGCCTCAGCACAAATTCCCAAACTCTGTAGGTGCCTCCACCTCAAACCTGAACTGCCTCACCCCCCTGAAGCTCCCTTTGCCTGAAGGTCCATCATTTCTGCACCTCCACAGCCTCCTTAGCTGCAGCCTACAGGACACCTCCTCCAGGGAGTCCCCCAGATTGCCCCATGGTTGGAGCTATCATCTAAGCCTGGCCCAGCACCTAATGTTAGGCGTCACCTTTTTACGGCTGTGAAAAGGAAGGCAGGTTGTTCCCGACTCTTCACGCAGCTCTTGTTCTCTGCCCTGGGCCCTGGTTCCACCAGAGCTGCTATGCACGTCCGCTACCTTTTTTAAAATTTATTTTTAAAATTACTTTATTGATTAATGTATCACATATTTGTCCTCATCCCCTCCCCCCCATTCCCATCCCAAACCCCTCCCCACACATTCCCCCACCCCCCCTTCCGCTACCTTTTTATACCGACTAGCTTATAAAGGCTAAACGCGGTTCTAAAAGGAAAAACACAGCATGTCCTTGAACTGGGGAAGTGTTATCAAGCAACATAAGACCTGATCATGGGAACAATGTTACAACTAACGAAGTTATCTATCATCCAACCTTTTGTATATATCAATTGCTGAAACTATAATTAGAAAAACAATATTTAAAACAGCAGCTGGATAGACTCTGGGCTGAGCCACCGTACCAATGACAGAGCAGAGGTTTTCTCTCTGGAAGTGATTGGGGGTAAACAGGTCTTTGAAAGGGGAACACATTTACTTAAGGCCTGTCTTCCCCCACCTATCAGCCCAGGACCCTCTCTCCCAGGGGCCCCCTGGCGAGCAAGCATCTCTCCGGCAGCCCAGCCAGAGTCTGGGATTCAGCAGGAATTTAATAATGGCTGGCTGACAGGGTGTGGTCTCTGCAAACATTACTCACTCTAGTTCTCAGGAGGTGAGGGCTGGGTTATTTTAGCTGCAGACCTGGCTGCCCCTCTGGGGCTCCTTTAGAGACCACAGCTTGTCCTCTGGGCCAGCTCCGTCCCCGCGCCCCGGGGCTCCCGGGAAGGACAGGTGTGGCAGGGGTGACTCGGAGGTGTTTGCTGAGTGAATAGCTGGATGCTCATTCACCAGGATTTATAACCCACCGGGTATATTGGTTCCGCAAAAGAGAACTGCCTGCCCCTGAGCGTGCTGGGCGTCTCCTTCAGGGCGGGGGAGGGTGGGACACTGCTTCCTCCTTTGCCCCGTTTCTCCCAGGCAATTCACTGAGGATAACGAGGGGTGGGACTCCGTATGGGTCTTGGGTTCAAGGCCTCAGGGTCCCTTTCACCTAGGATCTTGAGCAAGTCTCAGCTCACCCCTCATCTTCTTTGCTCCTCACGAGATCCTGTGATGAGGGGACTATCCCCAGTTTACAGCAAAGGGAGCCAAGGCCCAGCGAGGAGAAGTGGCTCACCTCAGGACCCACGGGAGTGACAGGGAAACAGGTCCTGAAGTTCAAGCCCTCACCCCCAGTTGGCCGCTCTCCTCCAGGAAGCCCTCCTGGATTGCTCCGTGCCAGCCCCACCTCCACACCCATGTCAATACAAAACCGTAATGGGGGTTTATGGCCCCTGGGGCCACTCATTTGCTTGCTCATCACCGAAACCAGCTGGCCTCCCGCCACCAGGGCAAAGGCCAGCTGGAGAGGCGGAGGCTCAGACAGGGAGGGTCACACAGCGGGAAGGAGCCCCAGGCATTCCTCCCTCATCACTCAGCGATGCAGCCTCCCAGGCCCAGGCTGGGCAGAGCCTCTGTCCCTTCAATACACAAACGAGTCTCTGTGTCTCCTGCTGGACAGAGCTCTACGCTCACACAAACACACTGCCCAACCCCACCACATCCCTCCTCCTGAGTGCCCCCACCAAGCCCCGGCCCTGGGCGGTTGTTAAGTGCTGTCCCCCAAGCAAGGCTGTGGCTGGTGCCTCCCCATCAGCCTCCAGGATTCTTGGAACCCACAGGCGGAGGGGGACGGGGCCCCTCTGGACTCTGGCCATGGCGCCAGGCAGGCCCCTCTCTTGGGGTGGGAGTCAGGGCTCAAGGTTCTAAGATTTGAGGCCAGAAGCCCAGGGTGGAGACTGAGAGCTTAGCAAGGGCAGGGGGCAGGGGCAGGGGGGCAGGGTGGGGAGGGCAGGAAGGACACAGACCTCAATGGCATCAGGGCAATGGGGCTGAAGAAGGACGGGAGAACCCCACCAGCCCCTGAGACCCAGCCGGTCCGGAGGGGAACGGGGTGAGAACAGACTGCCTCTCTCCATGCTTCCCCAGGGCCTCACAGGTGAGTGGAGGATGCCAACTGACACGGGAGTCCCCACTCCAAACACAGAGCCCACCCCACACAGAGCCCACCCCACGGCCGTGGCTCTGAGTGCATCCTGCCCCTCACGCCCCCAGCTCACCTGCCAGCTCCTGCCCGCAGCCTCCAAGCCCTGCTCCGCTCTGGCGGCGCCGCCCTTCCCTCAGGTTGCCAGGGGAAGGGCCCCACCCAAGGGAGGCAGGTGCACTCCCCCTCCTCGGCCCCACCCGGACCAGGAAACAAAGTCCGGAGGAGGAGGGAGAAAGCCGATACCCAGGCGGCGTGGAGGGCAGGCACCGTGCCCGCTGCACTCTGTCCCCGGGCCCGGCCCCCAGCCTCCAGCCCCCGGAGCTGGAACTCACCCGAAACCTCCCTGTCGCTGCCACCTGGCTCTCCACCCCTTCCAGTCCGCCCAGAGAGGGGGCACCTCGCCCAGGGTCACACAGCGGGCACAGGAGTCGGCTGCTCATTGCTGGGTGTGGGGGGTCCGGTCCCACATCCCCATGGTGCCACCTGGCTCCCCCCGCCTTCGGGGCTACCCCACCAGAGTCCTTTCTGGGACAAGCCCGTTTGCCCGTCCGTTTCTGGGGGATCCGGCGGGTCTGGGTTCACTTCCCCGCAGCCTCTCTGAGCCTGTTTCCTTCCCATGAAATGGGGCCATCACACAGCGGGGAGGAGGCCCCGGGCCACTTGGGGGTGGGACACAAAGAGCCGATTGAAGACTCAAAAGTGGCGGGAATGCTGGTGGGTGGGCAAGGCCTGGGTCCCGCTGACAGACGGAGCAGAGGCCCTAACTGGGCAGCAGGTCCTCCCAGGCGCTCAGCCGTCCTGCCTGATTCTTGGTTGAGGTGCGGAGCCTGGCCAGGGCTGCGGGAGCCCAGGGTTTGCAGGGACGTCAGGCCACTGGGACCAGGTCTACTCTGTCCTGCTCGTGGCTGGCTGCAGGGTCCCTCTCAACCTGTCTCTTCTCCCATCGCACGGGGCTGAGCCCCAGCCTGGCTGGCCTGCCTGGGATGAGGGTTTGAGACAGGTCCACATTGGGGGCCCAGCCCAGAATGACAGCCTGAGCGTTCACCCTGGGCCAGTTCTGCCAAACGTGGGGCGCACGGCCCCGTTGTCTTCCCTCCACACGGCTCACCGCACGTCCTCTGTCTGTTTGCAGACACGGAAACTGAAGCAGAGTCTTGGCTAAGGGCACACAGGGCTGGGGGGGGGGGGGGGAGCTGGGACCTGCCCACCATCCTTACCGCCCTATTGGAGAAACTGAAGCCCCAAATGGCGGAGACTGTCACCCAGCATGCTGGGAGTCCTGTGGAGACAAGCACCCCCATGTCCTGCTCCCAGACAGGCGGCCCACTCAGCGCTCAAAGCATTGGACAGACGGGCAAACTGAGGCCCAAGGGGACCGCGGCATTTCCCAGGCAGTGAGGGGACATGGGGTCGCAGCCCCCATAAATGCGTCCTCCCCCAGGACCCGCCTGTCTCTCAGAGGCCGGTTCCCGGAGAGCTCGGGCGGGCGTGTCTGGGGGATCCTTTCGGTTTCCTGGGGTGCTGAGCGCCAGCACGGGGCGGCCTCACAGCCAAGGGGTGAGAGCGGGGCAGGGCGGGCCTGGAACGGAGGGCTCCACGGGAAACAGAAAGCAAGTCCTGATCCTGGCTGCCGCCCCTTTCCCTCCGGGTCTTACCTGCCCAGGTGCTGTCAGATGTGTTCAAGCGTAGGTGTGGCCTCCGCCGATGTCCCCACCGCAGAGCCAGGTGAGCGGGAGGAGTGCAGGGCCCCACACAGCCTCCCTTTAAGGCCACCCAGGCGGCCCCACCCACCCCCTGGCTGGCCACATCCTCCCGGCCCCAGAGGAATCAAGAACTCCAGGACCCAGGGCGTTCACGGGGTTTATTTGCTTCTCTGGGAAGGTCAGGAACACGGGCCTGTCACACATCGAAAGCAGAGGGGGCGGCAAGGGCACTTCAGCGTAGGCGCTCAGCTCAAGGACCTGGCAGCTTGAGGAGGAAGGGGGTCCATGCCACTGCTGGGGGCCACCTCAGAAAGGGCCTCTCCTCCCACCACCAGGGGGCAGAGCTGAGGCAGGCCGGGCTGGTTTCAGGCAGCCCTTGCACACACAGCTCCTTCTTGGAGGCAGTGGTGAGGGGGGGCTACCTCAGCCTGGGCACCAGGTTTGGGGGCCAGGGGAGGGGCCCAGATGGGGCCCGGTCATCCTATAGCCTACACAGGAGAGGGTGCGTAAGCATGGGCATGAATGTGCCTCTGAGGATGAGTGTGGCTGCAACCTGGGAGAGGTGTGTGCACACCTGGGTGTCAGCAGCCCAGAGCAGGAGAGGCCCTCACCCCCGACCCCTTCCAACGAGGTGGGGGAGGCTCCCATTGGGCTGGGTAGCCAACGGGGGTCTCCTGCTGCAACCCAGGGGGAGCTCCCTGCCCCAGGCTGTGGGCCCCTCCACTGCCCAGAATGTGCCAAGCCTAGCAGAGCTGGCAGAAGGCCTGATCTCTGGGGTACAGTTAGGGAGACCCAGGACTCTGGCCCAAGTAGACTGGAGAATGGGCTGGGGCAGCCCCCTAGGGTCCTCAAATTAGCACCAGGAGGAAGGAGGGCCCAGTGAGGGTGGGAGCTCCGGACAAGAAGTGGCTCACGTGACCCCGCCTTGTGCAGGGTGCAACGCGAAGACCCTCACCTCACCGGCCCCATCCAGAAGACGGCACAGGGGATCACAGACCCCACCCCACAGCGGGGTGTGCGTCCTCTGGGCTCCCCCTTCCTAGGCTCCATCGTGCACTGGTCATGCCCACGGAGAGCATCCAGGGACGGGCACACTGGGCTGGGGTGCCGGGGGGGGGGGGGGGGGGGCCTGCTTTCTTCTAAGAACTGGAGCCTGGTCTCCAACGGAGGCTCCCCCGAGGCACAGCCTCACCCCAACCCCTCACCCCAACCGCCCAGGATCCGACGCCAGTGCCGAGGCCGGGGGGCCCCACTCCCAGGGGCTGAGTGGGGTCAGAAGAGGCGCCCAGGACCCCGGCTCTCCAGTCCCTCTCTGCAGGATGTCCCCCTGGAGACCTCGCTGGAGGTGGCAGGAAGGCACAGGCAGGAGGCCCGGAGGGTGGCGGGCTTGCCTGGGCAGCACAGAGGCCTGGGTCCCACCGGCCAGGAGCGCTCTGTGGGCAGAAGCCCGTCGCTGGAGCTGCCGTGACGTGGGGGGGATCCTCGTGGTGGGGAGAGTGGGTCTGTCCGTGTCTCTGTCCTGCCAGGCACAGGCACACCGCTCAGTGGTTCAGGGGGAGTCGTCGGGGTGGCCATGGGTACGGGACCCCTGCCCCTCCCTTTCCAGTGGAAGGAAACTCAGAAGGAAGATGTGACAACAGAGCGTGTCCTGGGGCCGTGACTGTGGGTGGAGGGCGGGCAGGCCCCGGGGCCGGGCGGCGGGTCTCCGGTGTGGAGGGCGGGGCCGGGGCCTGGGGCCTGCGGCTCACATGACGGAGCAGCATTTGCAGCGCTGCTTCTTCGTGTCCAGGTCCTGGGCGTCGCCGGCAGGGGCCTCGGCCCCCACCTGGTTCTCCTCCCTGGCGCCCGCGGCGGCGGGGGGCTCGGCCGCACTGCCGTTGGGGGGGGCGGCCTCCTTGGGCTCGGCCTCGTCCCCGATGACCACCAGCTCCGCCGTGATGGTGTCCTGCAGCCCCAGCACCTTCTGGCTCTCCGCCTCATCCTCCACGTTCTGGTACCCCATGAAGATCATGGTGACCGGGGGCTCCTGGCCGGGCTGGATGCCCGGGGGGCCTGACGTGGCCTCACCGGGCTGCGCCTGGACGCCGGTGATCTCCCGCCGCGAGGGGGTGGCGGTCCGGCCGGCCTCCGCGGACGTGCCCCCGGCCTCCGCGGCCCCCGGCGCCGGCCCTGCCTCACTCAGCGTGACTTCGTCCGCCTTGTGGATGAGGTCGTCCACCTCGGAGGAGCTCAGCGGCTGGATCCCGTTCACCGCGGTGCCGTCCACGGCGTGGACCACTGGAGGGGGGAAGAGAGAGAGTGAGACCTGGGACCGGAGAGAAGGCCTGGCAGGTCTGCAAGCCTCACTCCAGGCTAAAGGGAAAATCACAGCCCTGCCGGCGTGGCTCAGGGTTGAACATTGACCTATGAACCAGGAGGTCACGGTTGGATTCCTGTCAGGGCACATGCCCAGGTTGCAGGCTCATCGCCAGTAAGGGGCATGCAGGAGGCAGCTGATCAGTAATTCCCTCTCATCACTGAAGTTTCTCTCTCCTCCTCTCCCGTCCTCTCTGAAGTCAATATATTTTAAATGTTTTATTGATTTTCCACAGAAAGGAAGGAATAGGGATAGAGAGCTAGAAACATCGATGAGAGAGAAACATCGACCAGCTGCCTCCTGCACACCCCCTACTGGTGATGTGCCCGCAACCAATGTACATGCCCTTGACCGGAATCGAACCTGGGACCTTTCAGTCCACAGGCCGATGCTCTACCCATTGAGCCAAACCAGTTTCGGCAAATACATATATATATTTTTAAAGAGAGAAAACGATAAGCCAAATTAGATGGACAGTCTAAGCTTCCTGTTGGGATCTGTGGGCACAGCCAAATCGGAGTACACAGGAAAGTTCCTGTGGAAAACACCCCAGCAATTCCTCATGAGGTTAAAGAGTCCCCCTATGACCCAGCAATTCCACTCCTAGGCACAAAATCACTTGTTATAAACAAAGAAAGATTGGAATTCAATGAGTTGCAGGGATCCTTTCTTCCTTCTTCTGGTTTATGTGGTTGATCCTGAATTAATTTAGTTCATTCACCCAGTCTTTCTTGTTTTCCTATAAATGCCCAGAGGCTATACCTTCTCCTGAGTTCAGCTTTGGCTGCACCCATGTATTGAATTACTTTGTCCTCTTTCGAGTTCAAATATCTTATAATTTCCATTTTGAATGACTGTCTCTCTAAGCCAAGATATATTACAAAAGATGTTTTTAAATACTGGGGAGTGAGGGATAAATATTGGGGATACAGAGCCTAAGATATTACAGACACCTTTGCAGTTCAGAACATGGTCACTTTTTGAAGATGCTTTACCTGTGTTTGACAAGAACATTCATTCTCCATGGGGCAGAGTTTTATTCCTGCAATCAATCTTTTCCCCCCTAACCCCTGCAATCAATCTGTGAAATGCATTTTCCAAATCTCTCCAACCTTCCTGCTCTGTGTTTCTTTCTGAACTGTGTTGCGGTCTCTAAGGATGGGGTTTCAGCACCAAGGAGTCCCAGCCACAGTTGGACGCCAGCCCCAGATTACAGCCCCAGAAGCACAGCTCCTGGCTACCTGGGGAGGGAGGAGGGACTTACGGAGCCTGAGGATTCACTCCTCCCTGGACAAGGGTCAGGACTCCGATTCCTGGCTCCTGGCCAGGCGGAAAGTGCTCTCAGCTTTCGGTTTCCAGGGGGGGGGGGTGAGGGGGGTCCACGTTTCAAGGCCGCTAAGCGACTTTGAGCTGGAGGCCCAGAGGATGGGTATGCCCAGGTAATGCAGAATCAAGCTGAGTGTTTCCCAGTGGCCATTGCCCCAAGATAGGAATCTGAGCCCTCAGCTGCCTTGGAAGTGGATCACCTTCCCATTGCTAAGCAACCAGAGTCCAGTCTGGAGGGTCCTGACTCCCCAGGGGCTGGGCCAGGCTGGGCAGAGTGGCCATGGTGAGGACGTTCCGCTGGCACAGAAATCTTTGCCCCTCAGCCTCATGCAGTCATGTCTGCCAAGACCACACAGCTGGTGAGAACTGGACCAGAATCCTCCCTGGGTCTATCCTCAAAGCAGCAGTCGCCAACCTTTTGGACCTCATGGGCCACCAGGGGTCCACGGACCACCGGTCGGTGACCGCGGCTAAAGCGTGGCAGAGCTGGGCTAGCACAGGACCCCCACGATAGCCTTCTGGACAGACACCCCAGAGACCCAAATAACAGCTAAGAACAGGAGGCGTTGGAAATCAGAGCAACAGTGGAATGTCTCTTCACACCCAACAAAGAAAAAAAACCCACATGAACATGTCAAGGATGCGGAGAAATTGGAACCCTCCTGCACTGCTGGTGGGAAAATAACGTGGTCCGGCCACTGTGGGAAACACCCAGCCATTCCTCATGGGGTTCCAGGGTCCCCACATGACCCGGCAATTCCACTCCTGGGTGTTTGCCCAAGAGAAAAAAAATCATTCACTCACACAAACGTATAAAACCATTCACTCCACGGGCGGCTGGATAAGCATAATGTGGTCCATAAAACAAGGGGTATCATTCAGTCACAGGATGTGAACATGGATGGACCTTAAAGACGTGACGCTTCGTGAGAGAAGCCAGTCACCAAAGGCCACGCAGCATGCGATCCCCTTTATGTGACATGTCCAGGAGGAGCACAGCCACGGGGGCAGGAAGTTGGTCAGTGTTGTCAAGGGTTGAGGGGTGGGCAATGATGGTTTTTTTGTGTGTGTTTTTAAAAATATATATTTTATTGATTTTTTTCACAGAGAGGAAGGGAGAGGGATAGATATAGTTAGAAACATCGATGAGAGAGAATCATCGACCAGCTGCCTCCTGCACACCCCCTACTGGGGATGTGCCCGCAACCAATGTACATGCCCTTAACCGGAATCGAACCCGGAACCCTTCAGTCCGCAGACTGACACTCTATCTACTGAGCCAAACTGGTTTCGGCAATGATGGGGTTTTTATTTGGGGAACAAAAATGCTCTGGAATCAGCTGGTGAGGGTGTACAACGTGGTGGACATACCAAACCCACTGCACTGTGCGCCAAGCACTTTATACGCCATTTCCTCACAAGGGAAAGGTTGCGGATGTGCTAATGGGCTCTAGAGCTGAACTGTATTCACCTTATACTTGGCTCAGGGGACTTGGTCCTGTGAACTCCATTCCCTCAAGAAAGATAATGCTTGCCTTGATTTTTATTTTTTTAAATATGCAACGCTTCACCAATTTGCCTGTCATCTTTGCACAAGGGCCATGATGATCTTCTCTGTATCGTTCCAAATAAAAAAAAATTTTTTTTTTTAGTATATGTGCTGCTGAATCGAGCACTGCTTGATTTTTAAAAAAATATATTTTATTGATTTTCCACAGAGAGGGAGAAGGATAGAGAGCTAGAAACGTCGATGAGAGAGAAACATCGACCAGCTGTCTCCTGCACACCCCCCACCGGGGATGCGCCCGCAAACCAAGGAACATGCCCTTGACTGAAATCGAACCTGGGACCCTTCAGTTCGCAGACCGATGCTCTATCCACTGAGCCAAACCGGTTTCGGCTTGCTTGATTTTTTAAATGTACCTTTTAACACGTCTTCTTAAAACATATTTTGTTTACTAAAGTGACTTTGTTTTCTTTTACTAGCATCACAAAAAAGTTGCCAGAACTCCCCCTCCCCAGGGTCCTTACATATATCTTACCACTCCTGCCAAAAGTGAACGAGATGTTTATGAAACTGCTCTGTGGCCTGACCAGTGTGGCTTAATGGTTGAGCATCACCCTATGAACCAGGAGGTGGCGGTTCAATTCCCAGTCAGGGCATATGTCTGGGTTGCGGTATAAATTCCCAGTAGGGGGTGTGCAAGAGGCAGCTGATCAATGATTCTCTCTCATCATGGATATTTCTCTCTCTCTCTCTCCCTCTCCCTCTCTCTGAAGTCAATAAAATATACTTAAAAAAAAAAAAAAAGGGGGAGAGGCATATGTGGGGAGAGGTTTGGGATGAGAATGGGGGGATGAGGACAAATATGTGATACCTTAATCAATAAAAAATAATAAAAAAAAATAAAAGAAACTGCTCTGTAAATACTGATGGAGTGTACAGTTTATTTTTATTTATTTATTTATTTATTAAATATATTTTATTGATTTTATACAGAGAGGAAGGGAGAGAGATAGAGAGTTAGAAACATCGATGAGAGAGAGTCATCGATCAGCTGCCTCTTGCACACCCCCTTCTGGGGATATGCCCGCAACCAAGGTACATGCCCTTGACCGGAATCAAACCCGGGACCCTTCAGTCCCCAAGCTGACGCTCTATCCATTGAGCCAAACCGGTCCTGGCTGGAGTGTACAGTTTAAATAAACATTTTCCTTATTTAAATAAGAGTGAATTTGATGGTAAATGAATTATATTCACACACACACACACACACACACACACACACAGGGACTTCGGCCTTTTGCCCCAGCTCCCCGGCTCCTCTGTGTTCCCGTCTTCCTACTGGGTGTTCCCGTCTTCCTACTGGGTGTTCCCCTCCCAGTCACTAGGGGGACCATAAAAAACAAGTTAGATCTCACTGCCTGCTCACCCCTCCCAAAGTTCTCTAGTCTCCTCCCTCCACTCCCTATCAGTCCACAGGCTCTTCTCAGTTCCTCCGGTCCAGCAAACTCCATCCCACCTCAGGGCCTTTGCACGTGCTGTGGCCTCTAGCAGGTGCACTGTTCCCCTACACAGTGTGTGCACCCAATTAGCTCCTGTTTACCTCCCCGGAGCATCCTTCCCTGGCCCCCTCCTGCCTGACCAGCTCATGACCCCCTTTATCTTTGGGACTTTTGTAGCCTCTATCACAACAGTAATTATTTCAACAAGTTATTTGTGATCTCAGGATTGAAGGGCTTGGCTCACTGACAGGGGAGTCCCACCGGGGATTTGCTTTCAGGGCACAGTCTGGCACCTGGCGCTTAGTCAGTCTTCAAGGCAAGTGCCTGTAGTGAAAGAAGGACTGGGCCACGGATTCAAGCTCAAAGCAACAGAGGGGGCTGAGGCCCTGTCAAGTCAGATGGGGGTCAGGCTCTGGCTCGGGCAGCGAGAGGGGGTTTGGGGCAGGGCGTGGGGGTCTCGTACCTTTGGTCTCGTCCTCGTAGACCTTGACGCCCTGAAGGAGTGGCTCCCGAGGGAGCGAGGTGGTGCTGGACAGCACCCGGGTCTCCCCGGTCACCTTGTCCTTCTCCACTGTGATCTCAACCGAGTACATGGCTGGCACGAGAGGCACGGGTTACGCCATGGCCACCCGCTCAAGTGCCCCCCGCGGGGCTGCAGCCAAGCCGGGGAGGGGAGCTGGCAGCACAGAGCCAAGCAGCAGGGACACCTTAAGCGCAGACCTCACCAGTTCAACGTCCTTCTGTGGCTCCCCAGTGCCCTGGCCGCAGATCTGTATTCCTGCGCTCCACACGAGGCCCATCCTTGCCACCCCATCCTATGTGGGAAGCCTTAAACGGTCCCATTTGCTCCGAGGAGAGAGTGTGTAAAAGGAGGAATGCCTTGCCCATGATCGCAGCTACAACAGGACTTGGGTTAACGGGCCAGCCCCCGCATTATCTGTCCACCCCTCTATTCAGTGAACTATGGAATCTGCCCTTGTCTACCTCTATGAAGAATGGATCACTTCCTCTCAAAACGAGTGAATGTCATTTTACCCCTTAGGGCCACTATTCCATGCCCAGCATCTCACCCACGTTCTGTGGAACTCATTGCCACAACACTGCACGGGGAGACGAGTCCTGGCACTGACCCCCAGGACCTCACCCCAAAACCCAGCATCACACTGCCTTCCTCCACCCTCCCCATGGGAATCACCACGTCCAAGAGCCCCTCCCAACCTGCCCCTCCCACCTGCCCCTCCTGGGTCTTACTGCCCCAGGAAGATCAGCTCCCACCTCTCCCTCTCTCACCCTCTCCGCTGTCCATCAGAAAACCCTAAACCCATACACTTTTCACCCCCTCGGCAACCCACGGTCTGTTCTCCCTAAAGCCACCAGAGGGCACCTGTGAGAACTAGAGTCAGGTTTGGCCTTGGCCTCCCACAGCCACCAGGGGACGCCAGTGAGCACCCAGTGGGCACATCCCTGCTCTGCCCCGGGCCCTCCCTGGCTCCCATGTCTACAGGACCCTGTAAGACCTGGCTGTCACCCCCATGGCCTCAGTTCGTCCCTCTCCCTCACGTATTCCACTGCCATAGCACAGCGTACCAGTCAGGGCCTTTGCCTGTGCAGGGCCCTCCACCGGGACCACATTCACCCCGGGTGTCTGCATGCCTTGTTCCCTCACTTCTTTTGGGTCCTTGCCCAAATGCCACCTCCTCACTTTGGCCTCCCCTGAACCCTTTTATTAAAACTGCCCCCCCTTCAGCACCTCATGATCTGCCTTATTTCCTCTGTAAGTTAATTTTATGGGCTGTGGACCCATCAGCATACCCGCCGTGTCACTCAGCAGGGACTCAATAAGCACTTGTTGAAAGAATGTCATTTAATCTCATGTCCCTACACAGCCTAACACCCGCATCTCAGACACAGAGTTGGACAGGACGACAGGATGTTCACTGCATGGGATTGCCAACTGAGGGGACAGGCGCTGGCCTCGGGGTGGCCTAACTGGCACCGGAGCCCTGAAGATACCCGTTCTTCTCTGGAAAACAGTGCCCTCTGCCTCCTGCCCGCTGGGGCAGACTCCGCCCGGACCCTGCAGGAGACCCTGGGCCTCTGCTGCCGCCTCTGCCTGTTACATCCCAGCCCCCTGCCCCTGCGAGGGCCTTCGCCTCCCGTCTCGCCCCAAGAACAGCAGGAGTAGCAAGAAGGTTCTGTGACTTCTGTGGTTCCCTGCCAGGCCTTCGGTGTGGGGTCACTGCAAGTCCACCCCTTCCGCGGGGTGGAGACTCAGGTGTTGGGGGGCAAAGCAGGGGTTTGAACCTGACCTCATAGACTGCTTAGCGCCAACCCTGACTCTTCCTGCTTCCTAGAAGGCATGCCTGAGGCCCAGCATGGTCACCTCCAGGGACAGGGCACTCACGCCCCCCCCCCCCCCCCGCAGGCGGCCTGCGTGTGGAGGAGGGTTTATGGTGTGTGCGTGTGTTTGAACATGTGCGCCACCCCCTCGGGGCTCCGGGAGCGAGTGGCGTGGTTAAGGGGAAGGGAGCTAGAGAACGTGATGGGTTAGAGCAGCCATGCAAGGGGGCCCGTCTTCCTGTGGAAGCTGGACCAGCATGTGACCCAGGAGCCAAAGCAGAGGCATCGGCCAGGCTCTACCCAGGCTACAGCCTTGGTCCATCCACACCTCCCCACCCCCCCGCCCCCCACAGGCTCCCAGGGCCGACACCCGGCCCAGGACAGCAGTTGGACGTGGGCGGAGGCCGGGGGCTGACCTACCTGCCTTCATCATGGTGGAGCCTTCCACCGTCCGCAACGGGGTGTTGGAGACTGACTTCGCTGCTTCGGGAGCAAAGAGGGAGAGAGAGAGGTGCGGGTCAGAGGAGAGAGGATGACACAGACCCCCAGACACACGGACAACCACCCAGACTCTGACGTCCCCCAGACACGCAGACACCTCCTAGGCACATGTGCCCAGGTGCCCGGCCCCTCCCCTGGCACACACACACACACCTGACCACTCCACGTGCCCGGCTCCCAGGCACACGTGGAACCCCTCCCCTCACAGAACACCCATCAGCCCGCAGCCCAGTTCCTGTCTCTCGGCCCAAGTGATTTTCACAAAATCCCTGAGAAGCCTGCGTAGATTTTTTTTTTTTAATTATAAATTTTTAATTCCCCAGTAAGACAAGGAGACTCTCCTTATGAATAATTAACACAAAAGAAATCAGGCCGAGGCACTACTGGCCGCCACCTTCATTTCCAGCTGGTGAATCTCCTGCCATACTCCCCATAGGAAAGTAGGCAAGTTTAATGTCTATTTTAGCAATATGATTTATATGAAATAATTTTAATATAATTAACTATCATATTTATACCTAAGCATACACATGTGAAATACTTGCGAATTGTATAATATACCTATAATAATTTAGCGGGGAGTAAAATGGGTCCCAGAGTTCAAATTTGGGGCTTTTTTTTTTTTTTTTTTTTAATCCGTCTCCTGGACTCTTGTTCTTTTAAATGGTGCCTGATCTCCAGGAAAGCGGGGACCCTGCTCTCCTCATGAGCCCCTCTGAATTCTCATCCCCATAGAACCCATTTTACAGATGTGAAAACCAAGGCACACCCCCCCACACACACACACCACCTGCCAGAGCAAGTGGACAGAGAGGGTCAGCCAAGGCCAGACACCCTCAGTGGACAGGATGGACCCACAGTATCAACTCCAAGGCAAGGACCGCGGCCAGGTACAGCCCTGCAAGGCCTTGGTTTCCTCATCTGTAATGGGGGGCGTGTGGGGAGGACTGCCGCAATCCACCCCAGGGACGTTGTGAAACTAAATGCAATGGTGATGAGGGGCTTGGGGCCAGGCTCCACTGTGGGCTCCTTGGGAATAGTAGCAATAACGGTCTGGTTGCCATTATTGTTACTTATTAGCAACGAGGCCCTCTCCCCACGTACACCATCCCCACTCAGGGCAGCCGAGTGTGCTGAGGCTCAGCCAGGCCCTTCCAGAAGCATACCTTTGGGTGTGCCCACCGGGGTCTGTAAGAAAGAACGGAGAGGGGTTAGTGGTGCCCATGTCCCCCTCCCATGAACCAGGGCCCCACCCCAGAGGGATAAGAGCCTGGGAAGGTCTGACTCAGCCGTGACCCCACCTCATGCCATCTCCTCCTGGACCCATCGCCCACCCCTAGCCTGACAGCCAGGCGTCCCTGCCCCTCTCAGCCGTATCAGTGGCTCCGAGTGCCCCGAATCCTCCCTGACACTGCCCTGGGCTCTGTGCGAGCAGATCCGTCCCCGGCCTCTCCTCCCTCCCTCTCCGCTGGCCTCCCTGGCCCCCGTGGTTCCGTGGGCACATTCCTGTTCCGGGGAGGGCCTCTGTGTGCCCCCTCTGCCTAGGAAGGCCGTTCCCTGGATTTCTCTTGTCTGGCTCCTCTCTCAGCTCCCTGACCACCCAACCAAAGGCAGTCCCCAAACACACTGCAGTCTCTCAGGTTAGTTAATACTGGGTATGACCTGCCCAGCCAGTTTCTTTTTTTCATTTTCCCCCCCCGGCCAGTTTCTGACTTTGCCCCCCATCCCCCAGAATATGGACAGCATGAGGGCAGGGACCATGCCAACAGTCTACGTTCAATCGATCTCACTGAAAGCCCCCTCTCATCTTGTGTCTGCACCGGGAGAACTCCTACTCAACCTTCAAAGCCCACTTCCTTCCCAGAAGCTTGCCCATTCCCTCTCCCCCATGAATCAGATGCCTCCTTGGGTATCTGGGGTGAGGATAACAAGGATTGGTGGAGGGAAAGGAAGAAGGTCCCATAGGCCCCTTGGGTCCTAAGCACAAATGTGGCTCCTGGATTTGCATGAATGTATTGCGGTGACCACAGGCTTGGGGCCCATTGTTCTGGTATCAATAGAACCTGGTATAGACACCGGGCCCTCAAATCAATAGCTAAGTCCCATAAAGACCACTCTTCCCTGTATTTCCTTGAACCCCTCTCTTAGTCTCTCTGGGCCTCAGTTTTTGTCTCCCGTCAAATGTGAACATGGTCTTCCATCGAATGGACCAGGCATGCACAGGTGCTCAAAGTAATGGCGGAGAAGGGGGTGGCGTTCGTGGGAAGCTCCTTAAGCGTCAGGTCTCGTAGGAAGTGCTTGTTGTCCATGGATTCATTTATCCCCCGTGACACCCCCAGCACGCGGGTGCTCTTACGGGTGGGGAAACCGAGGCCCAGAGAGGCAAGGCCAGGTGTCTCAGGTCACACGGCTGGGAAGTGGCAGGCTGAGAATTGTTTGTTGTTGTTGTAATTTTTATTTTTAATTTATTTATTTTTTGTTATTTTTAATCTTCACCCAAGGATATTTTTCCATTGATTTTTAGAGAGTGGAGAGAGAGGGAAAGACAGAGAGAAATATCCATGTGAGAGAAACACATCGATTGGTTGCCTCCTGCACATGCTTCAGTAAGAGCCAGGCCAGGGAGGAGCAACCTAGGGACTTGTCCTTGACCAGTATCGAACCCAGGACCCGTCGGTCCACAGTCCGACACTCTATCTATCCATCCACTGAGCCAAACTAGCCAGGACATGAGGTTTGAATGCAAGCTCTAAAATCCGGCCCCAGCAGGGGTTGGGTTCCACTGCGGCCGGCCCTCGGGATCTCCTTACCTGCTGAGAATTCAGAACCACCTCTGCCTTCTGGGTCTCCTTGGCCGGGCTGGGGGCTGCCACGTTCTCCTTGGCGGCGGCTGGGCGGGCGTCTGTGTTCTCCAGCGCCTCGATCTCCTGCTCCAGCCTGGGGAGAGGGCGCAGTGACAGCCCTCACCAGGCCCTGCCGCACGCCCAGCCCCATTCCGGGCACTTTCCATAAGGGGACTCCTAACACTCTGTGAGGTATTCCTGTCACTTCCCCTCATGGTTGGGGAAACCGAGGCAGGGTGACACGTGCACACAGCCAGCAAGTAGTAGCAGAGCTGGAACCTTTCATCACCCAAGCTGTTGCTGACTTCATTTACTTCCAACTGACGCTCCTTTTTCCCTCACCCAAATACATTTATTTTTACAGGAAGCTTTATCTCTACGGGAAAACTGGAAAAAACATGTCACTTTCCAAGTATCAGAAGATAAACATAAACCCGTGGAAACAAAGCTGGGATGTTAAATCCTGTCCCGCTGCCCCCACCCAGGATGAGTCTGCAGCCCTCTCACAAAATGAGCCCACGTCAACAGGATGGACCAGCGAGGGTCAGCCTGGGGGGCTTCCTGGAGGAGGTGTCCAGTCAGGGGCCACCAAATGGGCAAAATTCGGCTGCGAGAGCCACCGGGGAGCTACTCTGAGAAGGAGAAAGCCAAGGCCCCTCCACAGCACTCAGCATGTGCTGAACTCACAGCAGGGTTCAGTCAAGCCCCTCCTTGCCCCAGGGCTGCACTCAAGAAGTCCACCTTGGCCAGCCAGTAATCCCAGTGGCCAGTCATTTCCACTGACTTCCCACCCCATCCAGCACATGCTGCTCTGCCTGGTCAGTTCTGACGGTCTCTACATAGACCCATCTCAGCCCTCAGCTCAATGTCTGTTAGAATGAAAATGCACAGCCTGGCTGGCATAGCTCAGTGACTGAGCATTGACCTATGAAACAGGAGGTCAGGGTTCAATCCCCAATCAGGGCACATGCCCAGGTTGTGGGCTCGGTCCCCAGTGGGAGGCGTGCAGGAGGCGGCCAATCGATGATTCTCTCTCATCATGGATGTTTCTGTCTCTCTCCCTCGCCCTTCCTCTCTGAAATCAATAAAGATATACTTAAGAAAAAAAAGAATTAAGATGCACAGGAGGACTTCTGCCTTCTCTGTTCACAGGCAGGAAACTGGGGCCGAGGGAGGGAAATCCCGGCCCACTTTCTTCCAAACCGAACACACCAGGACAGGATCCCGAGTCCCCACTGCAGGGCCAGCTTCCCTGGGCGATGGCCCAGTGTGCTATGGGCCCTGGGCAGGTCTCATGCCTCTCAGCCTTTCCTTGGCCAAGCGGACGTTTGGAATGTTGGCTGTCATTTCCCTCCCCCCCGACCTCGCTACCCTGGAGCTGAGCCTGGGCCTCTCGCCTGCCCGGAAATTCTGGGCCTTTTGTCCCAGCCCAGGGGGCGGGGGGGATGGTCACTTTCCCCAGCCCGCCCCTCCCAGCCTTCCTGCAGGCCCAGCTGCCAGGCCTCTGTGGCCTCCATTAGATTGTAGCCGGGAAGAGCTTGTTGGCTGGGCCGGCGCCAGGAAGCCCCTGGGGAGGCCACTGCTGGCAACTCCCATCCTCAGGGACTGAGGGCTCCGCCCTGACTCCGCGTACCTCCTGCACCTGCTTTGCTGGCGTGTCCATGGAAGGGAGGGGTCGAGCAGGACCGCCGATGCCCCCGACAGCCCACACTGCCTCCCTCAGCCACCTTAAGCCCGCTTACACATCCCCATTACAGCACTGAGGTGAGGCATCAAAGCCTGTGCACCCCATATCCAGCATGTGGAGGTCTCCCTGCTCCCATCACACACACACACACACACACACACACACACACACACACAGCCCAGTCCTCGGGCCCCCTGCTCGGGGTTCCCACACCCAGACTTGGTGCAGGGCGGTGTGGCGCCCCACCCACCTGGAGATGGATTCCTCCAGGTGCCGGGCCTTCTGCTCATCCTCCTGCATCTGCCTCCTCATGTCTTCGTCCCCCTCCGAGGCCGAGGACGGGGTCCCCTCCAGCAGCCATCGCTCCCGCAACGCCTTGGACTGGGGGCAGCAGGAGGCGGGGCCGGAATCAGGGTCGGAGTCCGGATCGGGGTCCCTTCAGCTTTCCTGCTCTCCCGGCCCCCGTATTCGCCTGAGACTTGGGGCCTCTGGGCACCGCCGCCCCTTCTCGCCCCCCGGCCGAGGCCCGGTACCTTCAGATGCTGCAGCTGCCGCCGGTCGTCCTCCAGCTGCCGCCGCTTGTTCTCAATCTCCGCCTGCTTCTTCCGTTTCTCCTGACGGACAGACGGGCGGATGGGGTGGGGTCGGGACCAGGCAGGGGCACCGTGAAGACCTCACCAACCCACCGAAGGCCCTGGCCACAAAGAGCCTGTTTTTTCTGTAAATGGCACCCACTTGGCCCACTGACCTCCGACCTGCCCGCCCCCCCCCAGCCCATTCCCCTAGCCTGGGTATAAATAAGGGCAGCATTCTACCATGCCTCAGTTTCCCCACCTTTAAGGGGCTCTAAGATGGCTAGTGCTCTAACATTCCACATTCCAGGGATTAGGGAGGCTGTTGTCTGTGGGGAAGCACCAGCAGGCACCACTGAGCCACAGGGCCCCTGTGCTGAGTGTAGGGCCCCATGAGACCCCCGGCCCCCCACGGGCCACACCATCCGAGGGGTAGGAAGAACTCACTGCAATGGCCTGCAGCCGCTCCTGCTGGAATGTGGTCTCCCCGGCCAGGACCCTGGGGAAGGGGGAGACAGACAAGGTCAAGCCAGGGGTCCACCCCACCCCTACTCTCAGCAGATGTGGTTCAAATCCCCGAGCTGCTCTGCCAGCTGGGTGAGCGTGGCCAGGGCTTGGCCAGGCTTCCCGAGTTCCCCTTCTGTAACCCGGGACCTGCCAGCCTCCATCCAGCCTTATTGCCTCATTCATTCTCCCCTCAGGTCCTCCTGCCTTCCCTCAGGGCAGAACCAAGAGCGGGGAGGGGGTGGGGAGGCTCTGTCTGAAGCCCCAGGAAGGATTGGGGAGGCTGGGCTGTAAAGGACAGATAGGGGTTCACCAGGAATCAAAGGCTGGAGGGCGTTTCAAGACAAGCTGTCTCACTTCCTAGCCCGGACGGACGGACGGGAGACAGATCAGGACGGCCCCTGCCCAGCCTCCACCTATGGAGCATTCTCCGGTCCTGGAGTGGTGGTTCTCGACCTCTGCCCCAAATCCCAAATGATCCAGGGCCCCTCAGGGAGGCGGGGAGGCGTGGACAGGAGGCCAGGGCAGGGCCAGGGCCAGGGCCAGCTGGGCACAGTGGCGGCGGTGGGATCTGTCTCCCTTCCCTGCCCAAAGCCCCTTATCTTCACAGGGACTGAAATTACAGACCTTCTTTGGATCTACTGCCGCCCCAACACCCCTTGGCCTTGTATCCGAGCCCAGAACCACTCTGTGGTCTCCTCTGGGTCTCAGTTTACCCACATGGATAGTTGGAGCAGACACCCAGCTCCACACCCTCCGTTAAGCCCCCCTTCCCTCGTGGTTCAGCGGGGAAACGGACTCAAATCACACAGTGTACTGGGCTCGCCCTGGGCCAAAGCCCCGCCCCCAGTCCCGCCCAGGTGCCCCTGGGGTAATCTACCCTGGACCACAGTGCCCGTCCGCCTGTCCCCTCAGCTTCAGTTTCCTGGCCTCACTGAGACCTCTGAGGTCATCTGGCTCCCACGCCCCAGCCAGGTGACCCCACTCAACTCTCCCCTTCCTGGCGGGTGGCACCCCCCCCCCCTTCACCTCCTAGGGCCCAGCAGCACCAGCTGCACCCTCTGCCACTTCCCTCCCTCCTTTCTCAGGAAAAGCTGCTTCGCTGGATGGAGTTCAGGAAAAGCTTGATCCACCTCCTCAGCTCACAGGCCCGCCCTGAAGGGCCGGATTAGCTAGGTTTCTGGGTCTGCCCCTCTGCACTGAGTGCGGAGGCAGCAGGGTGCCACACCTGTGTCCCCAGCCCCTCACTTCTCACAATCCCCCATTCCCCACCACAGCCCAGAACTCAACCGCCGCCTGCCAGCCCCCTGGCACAGACAGCCCCTCTCCACCCCCAACCAGAGGCAGCATCTCAGGAGGAGAGTCAGCCCCCTCCACGCACCTGCTCTGTCTCCCGGCTCCCGTCACTCTTGGAGAGAAATGATGAAACTAGCATAACCCAACCCCCACCCGCTTCCCTGCCCTCACCCCCTCTTCTCCTTCCTCACTGTTCCCACTAGCAGGACCTCTTGGCTGTGCCTCATTGACACCAAGGCCATTCCTACCTCAAGGCCTTTGCACGTGGTGTTCCCTCTGCCTGGTGTGCTCTTCCCACGGCTGGAAACTAAGCCCAGAGAGGGCAAGGTCTTTGCCCAAAGTCACACAGCTTCAAAGGGGAAGAGCTCGGATTCAAACCCATTGCCCAGCTCTGGAGACACACACACACACACACACACACACACACACACACACACACGTGCCAGCCACCCGGTTCCCAGCTCCAATCCAGCCTCCAGGGATCCCTCCAGAAGGAGGCGGAGCTGGGGAGGGGCCACATAGCAGGTGAGACCCCAGGGCACGCAGGGCCTGCTGGGCAGAGGCACCAGCCACCTAATGCCATGTTTCTACCGTGGTGGGCAGGTGGTCATTCAGACCGGACACAGGGACACAGGGACGGCTGTGAGGCCAGCTCCACAGGCTGCAGACAAGGCGGCAGTGTCCCTCCTCAGGCGGCCGGTCCCTGCTGGCCGAGCCAGGGCAGGGGGAGGTCAGGGGGCCGGAAGAGAATGCCCACCCCTCCCCATTCCCCCATCCCCGTCACAGCCCAAGGGGCACAGGCTGTGCACCCTTCCCGTGGCCCCTCCCGCCCGGGGGCGCCTCTGCCTCCTGGTGATGGATGGCAGGCCCGCAGAAGGCGGTTGCCCTGGCAACCGCGCCATCCCCAAGGCAACTCGGAGGCCTGCGAGAGGGTGTGGGCCTGCCACGCTCCTCCCGCCCCCAGCCCCAGCTCCAGGGGCTGCCGAAAAAGGATGGGAGGCCGAGGTAACTGCGCCCACCCCGCCCCCCACTGCTTGGGGGGATGGAGTCCCATCTTGGGTCCAGGGGCACCCGCCCAGGGAGGGTCTGGGCCCGCCCCTGGCGCAAGGTAGCCAAGCTGAAGACAAGATAACGTTCAACATCATAAATGAGAAAAACAGAACGAAGTAGGGCCCTAGCCCTCTCGTGAAACAGCTGTAAGTAAGAACCCCCTCCCGGGAGCTCCCCACCTTCCAGGCGGGTCCCAGCCTCATCTCGCAGGAGGGGAAACTGAGGCTGGGGAGGAGGGAAGGCTGTAAGGGACACATGCTAAGTGCCCACCCTCCTGAGGGCTCTTAGACACATTTTACCGGTGGATGGAGTGAGGCTGCTCAGCGGGGACGTTGGGACCTGTGCTCAGGCAGGCGCAGGGAGCAGGGGTCTCCGGGGTCTGGCGGGGCAGGGGAGGGTCAGGGGGACGGCTGACATGCCCTCTAGGGCTCAGGGCGGAAAGCAGAGGCCGGATCACAAAAGATCGGACAGGCTGGGTGGAGAAGCTCCGTTTTGGCCAAAACACAAGGGGAGGATTTAGAACTGCGTGGCAGCTGCCCCCACTGGCTTCACCAGGGGGGAGGAGGGGAGTCGCTGGGCTCCTGTCTGCGCTTCGCCATGGGCCGCAGCTAGCGGCGGCTGGTGGAGGGACCCGCCCTCTGCCTGGACGCCCACCCTCGGCCTGCGAAGGCTCCAGTCCCCGCGCGATTATTTTTATGGCGCTTGGAGCAAATTCTGGGCTCAAAGAGGCAATGTGGGTGGCTCAGGACCAGGAGAGGGTGTGGGCCGTGAGCGCGCGAGATAATCCCGGCCCCTGAGGATGAGCTAAGGAGGCCCCAACCCAATGGGCCGGGCGAGGCCCCGGCGTTGCCAGGGCGTTTATGTCTTAAAGACCAGAGAGGTTATGCAACGGGCCCAAGGTCACCCAGCGGGCAGAACGGGCGGGCCCTGGGCGGGTGTGGGGAATCGCCCGAGTTCCTCCAAGAGCCTACGCCTGGGCAGCTCCGCCAGATCGAGGGGGTCCTGGCCCAGGCAGGCTCACAGCCCGGTGCTGGAACATTCCTGTGTTAATTGAAAGGAAACAGCTGACAACGACCTTGGCCATGACGGGAGGGTGGGGCAGAGTCACGCGGGCTGGGAGGTGGGGGGAGAGAGGGAGCCCTGTGGCCCCATGGGCCCTTTCCCTCATTGGAGGGAGGGAAGGGGGGGATGGAGAGGCGGGAAGTCCCCATCCCACTCGCTGGCTCCCCGCGGTGGGTCCTTTGCCCAGCACCTTCCTGTCCCCAAACCCTCCACAGCTGTCACCCTGAGAACGCCTGGGCCTCCCAGCCTCCACAGTTTACCCGTCACTCCTCATCAGCTCCCTCGGCCTCCCCTCTCCCTCCTCCACCTCCAAGCTCTGCTCCCGCGCAGTCCCCTCTTCCAGCAAGCCTTCCTGGCCCCCTCCCTCCCGGGACTCCCAGGACCACGACTGTCGATAACTAACGAGGTGGAGGCCATGAGGCATTCGCTGCCTCGGAGGTTCAAGGCGGAGACAGCACCCCCGTGGTGGAGACAGGTCAGGGCAGGACACAGACCCAGAGGAGCGAGCCTGTTGCCCATTAACCTGGGCAGAGAGCAGGGAGGGCTGGACCCTGCCCTGGGCCCTTCCACAGAGGGCAGCGGAGCATGAGGGCAGGCCACAGAGGCAGAGGCCTTCCCCAGGGGCCACGGCAAATCCAGCTGCAGAGACCAACCCCAAAGACCATGGTTCCTGCCCACCCTCACTCGTCTCCAGCCACACTCAGGCGTCCAAAGCATGTTACAAGCCAGGGCCTTAGCTGAGGCCGGTTTGGCTCAGTGGATAGATCGTTGGCCTGCAGACTGAGGGGTCCCGGGTTCGATTCCGGTCAGGGGCATGTGCCCTGGTTGCGGGCACGTCCCCAGTGGGGGGTGTGCAAGAGGCAGCTGATTGATGTTTCTCTCTCACAGATGTTTCTGGCTCTCTGTCCCTCTCCCTTTCTGTGAAAGAATCAATAAAATATATGAAAAAAAAAACAACAACAACAAAAAACAGGGCCTTTGCGCAGGCTGTCCCTGCATCCGCGGGCCTCGCTCGTTCCCTTAGGGCTTCCTTCAGACGTCACCTCCTTATTTAGGCTTCCTCTGATCTCCCTGGGCCCCCCAATGCCCCTACCAGCTCTCCTGCAACACCCTGGACCTTTGCTTATTTTGTTTTTTATTTCCTCACGAGGACAGTGACTGTCTCTTCTTGTCCCTGCCACGTACCCAGCACCCAGGATACAGCAGGTTCTCAATAAACAGTCACTGTGCCAGCAAGTCAATTAAGGTATTTCCATTTTCAGAGGAGGCCCCGCCAGAGGCTCCCCTCCCCTCTTCCCATTCCTGCTACCCCTGGACTGACCACCTGTCTTACGACCACCTCCATGTTTTCCTTTTAAAGAAACACTGTCACACCGATCTAAAACAAGATCGGGGTTGCCCCCATCTAACAGAGGACATGGGATAGGTTCTGACTACCTTGGAAGTGACTGTACAAATTAATATATAAACAACCCAAACACCCACCAGTGATGAATGAATAAACACAATATGTCCGTCCACTCGATGGAATATTACTCAGCCATGAAAACAAGTGCTGAGCCGAGACCGGTTTGGCTCAATGGATAG